TGATCTTCAGAGTGAGGGCACAAGTTCGCACTCACACCAGCAATGGATAGGTGCTCCTCTTTCCTCATCACGAGAGGTCATTTGTTTTAGTCATCTTAGCCATTCTGACTAGTGAGAAATAAAATCTCAAAGTAGTTTTAATTTGCATTTCCCTAATAACTTGGGATGTTGAGCATTTCCTTAAGTGTTTCTCATCATTTGTATTTCTTTTTTTTCTTTTTCTTTTCTTTTCTTTTTCTTTTTGAGAGCTCTCTGTTTAGTTTTATACTCCGTTTTTTAACTGGGTTGTTTTTCTTGATATCCAGGTTTTTTCTTTCTCTTTTTTAGTTCCTTATACATGTTATATATTAACTGTTTTATGTGTAATTGTAAATGATAAAGATCTCTTCCCCTTCTGTAGCTTATTTGTCCAAATGAGGGTATACTTCACTTTAGAGAGCTTTTTAGCTTCAAGTGGTCCCATGTATCACCTGTTCTTAGTGCCTGGGCAACCCGTGTCCCGTTCAGAAAGTCTCCTCATGGGCTAGTGAGTTCAAGACTGTTTCTCACTTTCTCTTCTATCAGATTCAGTGTATTTGGCCTTCGAGTAAGGTCCTTGGTCTATGTGGTGTTGGGTTTTTATGCAAGGTGATAAGTACAAATCTATTTGTATTCTATATGCACTCATCTAGTTTGACCAGTACCATTTGTTGTAGATGCTGTGTGTGTATTTCCAGTGTGTAATTTTTACTTCTTTGTCAAAAGTCAGGGGTCCACAGGTGTGTGGATTTGTCTGGATCTTCAATTCAATTCCATTTACCAATGTGTCTGTTTATAGGCCAACAACAACTTAAAATTGGGGATGGTGATTCCCCACCAGTTCTTTCATTGTTCAGAATAATTTCAATATCCTGATTTTGTTGTTGTTGTTTCCATTTGAAGCTAAAATTAGTCTTTTCAAAGAAATTCTATTTTCTGTCCCTTAGGGCAGCTTGGTAACATCTGCCACTGTGTTCTAACTACTTCAGTACCATTTTGGACAGTGTGCTCAATTGGGAATGGCAGGTAAATAAGTTAGATCCTAACAGCAGGGCTCATGCAGGACAGACCCCCAGAGCCTAGAAAGACAGGACACAGAGGCTCCCGTTCTTTAAAGGGGCTGTCCCAGAATCTAAGAGCCTCTTAGAGCCAGACACGGAGAACTGTGTCTGGGTTTAAGACTTAGATCTGCCGATTGTAGTTGCGTGGTCTTGGGTGAATTCCTTAACCCTTCAATTGGGGATGAGGGCAGCATGCCCTGTTCCAGAATGTTCTGAGGGATTAAATGATAAACTATATGTAAACCCCTTAATCTGCTGCTGGTTTCTTAGTGAGCACGTGGTCGACGCGGAGGCATCATTTGAAGACCCCAGCAGTTGAGTTTACTGGCTGACCTACTGAAAGTACTCCAAAAGGGACGTTTCCCCTACAAACAGTTCTGGAGGCTCCAGACACTTATTTATTTATTTTTATTTTGTTTTTTGAAGACAGGTTTCTCTGTGTAGCCCTGGCTGTCCTGGACTCGCTTTGTAGACCAGGCTGGCCTCAAAACTCACGGGGATCTGCCTGCCTCTGCCTGGGATTACAAGCGAGCGCCACCATGCCCCGTTTCCAGGCACTTTTTAAAACCTGCCTCTGCTGTAGTTCCCGGATGTCTCCCAACAGTCTGCTCTGAAGCAACGATACAAATGCCCCCACCCCCGGGTGCAGGTGTCAGCTAAGATCGCTGGGAGAGGTGAAGACCCGTATCTGATTCCTCTGTGTTCCTACAGACTGCTGATGGGCTATGACTCAGCCGTGAGTGGGAATTCCTTCCCCACCCCATTTCCTGAACTTTTGTCAATATTACCAATTTCACCTCCCTGTATCTGGGCTCCTCTTTATAGAAAGGATAAACTGTGAAACTACACGAAGCGCTGAGCACAGAAGCTGGTGAACGGAATGAGCTGGGTTCCTAACAGGGCTGGCTAACTAGTCTCTGTGTACAGGGGCTGGCAAGTTAAGGTAAAACCTGAGCTAAAAGTCATGGGACCACGCCCTCTGGAACACCTTCCTTTAGCAACATTTCAACTGGGCTTATTGAGCTGTGGTTCAGTTTACCTGTTCAGTCTAACTCAAAGTTAGAAGAACGAAATCATTAATTTCAACTTCCTTTAGGAAGAAAGGTAAAAAGAACGGACTTTTTGGTGTAAACCTTCAGAAAGCAGCAACTGGACAAAAGTGGCACAGGGAAAAGACGCAGTGTCTGAGGAAGAAACTGCCCTGTACCGGGCGAGGCAGCCCTTCTGTTTGCGGTGACCTTTTGGTTTTCAGGCATAACTCAAGAACACGCCTCCCTCCCACGTTTCTTTGGAAGCCAGTGTTTAACCACGACCATTTACTGCCATTGGAAGGGAGCAAGAATTTTAGTCACTAAAGAGCTTTAATCTTGGTTGTCCCCTCACTTTCCCAGCGGAGACTGAAAAAAATCTGTAACCAGCAAATTTGCAAAACAGCATTACTCAGCCTCTTGAAAGGCTCCAGGTAGACTCATTTTTTGAATTATGATTCACCGCCGCTTCTTGTTTTGATGGAACAGGAAGACGGAGCTGTTAGAAGCGGTGATGGCTAACATTATGTTGATGGCTAACTTTATGTTTGAACTCTCCTTGCTTAAGAGGACTATAAAGCGATGAGCATGGCGGCGCATGCCATTAATCCCAGCAGTGGGGAGGCAGAGGCAGGCGGATCTTGACTTAGAGGTCAGCCTGGTCTACACAGGGAGTCCAGGACAGCCAGGGCTCTGTTACACAGAGAAATCCTCTCTCGAAAATCAAACGGGGGGGGGGGGGAGAGGGAGGAGAGAGGAGAAGAGAGAGAGAGAGAACTATAAGGCAAAATTAGAGCAATTAGGAATGCAAATGTTACGGGCTGCTAAGGGTTTTTGTTGTTCGGCTTCTGTAAACGCCCTTGGAAGGGGACGAACTGTGACTCTGTATTCTTTGCCTTATAAACCCGTGGCTGAGGTGGCTGGGTGCTGCATTAGGGAATCCCGACCAGGCGCCGGTATCTGAAATAAAAGCTTCTCCTTGGTTAAAAAAAAAAAATGTCTTAATAGCCGCACTGGTGGGTGACTCTCCGACCAGACCGGTAACAGGAGCCAGCCCGGGAGAGGGGCCTGCGCCCTGCAGGCTCCGAGGCGGTGGTGGTCCTCCTCGGCTGACGCGCAGGTGGGATTTCCCGTCGCCATCTTAAGGAGAAGCCGACTGCGGCAGCGCCTAGGCAGTGGAGGGGCTCCGGCGGGACAAAGAGCGGGGCAGGGGGGACCCACCCCGCACCCCTTCCCCGGCCCACCAGGGGGGTCACGTGGCCGGGGCAGCGGGGCCATTGGTGCAGACCCCTCGGGTTACCGTCGCCCCCGGAGTCCCCAGCGCTGCCCGGGGAGGGCTGCAGGCGTCGCGGTGGGAGAGGGGAGGCTCCCGAGGCCCGGGCCGCGGGGTCTGCAAAGGTGGGCCGGGGTCGCGGGGCCGCCGGCTCACGCTGCGCCCTTCCCACAATGCAACTCCTTCCGCGGAGGCCCCGGCGTCCCCCGGGGAAGAGCCCCCGGCCGCCGCCCGGCCGAGCGAGCCCCCGAGGCGCGGGCGCGGCGGCTGGGCCCCCCGGGAGCCGGGCGGGCGCGGGC